GGGGAGAGGGGCTGGGAGTCTGCCCCTGCAAGGCTTCTGTGCAATCACAGGCTCCCAGCGCCAATCATGGCCTCGCCTCCCAGCCTGGGAGTCCCAGCTGGGAGTGGGGTTGTGATCACCGCTTATCCCGCCTTTTTTTTTTTTTTGCTCTACCAAAAAACACCGGGTGTCTGGTATTTTTGGGGAGATCATCTGGCAACCCTACTGACAGAGTGCAGGAGGCACGCAAGCCCAGCAGTCTAGGCTGGTGGAGCTGAGGGTACAGAAGTATACACAAGTTAAGTCTGAAAACAAAAAACCCCTACTGTATATAGCATGCATGTAATGTGAACTGTGAGCCACACAGCAGCATTAAATAGTAACTACTCAGCACTCTGCAGCTGTGTCTACACTACCAGGTTATTTATTTCAAAATAATAACTCCCCAAATAACTTTCAAAATAAGATCATTCCTCTTGACAAACAGGAGTTATTATTTCAAAATAACAGGCAGACACGCCCTACATTCCTACACTGACTGTGGAAAGAGGTATAGAGCTACACATGCATGGAGAAACCAATTGTATTTCAGACTCCATAACAAAGACACTTCTGATTTGAGCTTCCTGGGTGCCATATTATTTCTTTTGCTCTACGTTATGGCTATGTCTACACTACACCCATTTTGCGCAAGAAATATGGAAATGAGGCTAAGCGTGGAATATCGCCAAGCCTCATTTGCATAACTGAGCACCCGCTTTTTGCACAAGAGGCTTTTGCACAAAATGGAGCAGTCTACACGACTCCTTTTTGCGCAAAAACCCCCTTTTGCACATGAGCCTTTCTTCCGCATTTTTTTCTGGAAGAACAGCTCTTGCGCAAAAAGCTCAGTAATTATGCAAATGAAGCTTGGTGATATTCCACACTTGGCTTCATTTGCATATTTCTTGCACAAAACGGGTGCAGTATAGACATAGCCTATTTCTCATAGTCTATTGCTGTGAAAGGACAAAGCATGTCATCTGATCCAAACATGGAGGGGAAATGTAGATGTCTAGAGCTTTAAATTCTCTCACAGTTGCCCAATAATTACCTTCTCTTTTTCTTCAGATGTCAGATTCATTTCTTTTCATATCTTCATCCAGCAGCTTTGGATCAGAGTATCAAAAGACTTAGCATTGAAAATGGGCAAAAGGTCATAGGTAACAGCAATCTCTCAAAAAACAATGGGTCTCCTATTCAGTTATTCATATGCGATGTCTTTTTCCAATAAAGTGTGGGAAGCAAATGTCAAAATGGCTTATGGATGAAAAAAAATGGATGAAGCTGCAGTGATTTACAAGGAAATTATCCACCAAGGGTCATTACAAAGCACAAAACCAGGATTAACAATGTGGTCATAAATCCAAGATTAAAATTAGTTCCATGTAACTCACTGCAGTGCATTTGTCATCTTTTTTATAAATAAGTAGATTGAAAACTGTTTAAGTTTCAAAACATTTAAAAAATTAAAGGATTTATTAGTGCAATACCTACATTAGGAGCTATAAATAGCAGATCTAAGTGAAAGCAGAGATTAAGACTCTTGGCAGGTATATAACTAAGACTACATTAATATTAATTTCCATAATGCCATGCCATTAAAATGAATGCATGTGTAAACAATCTCATAATCCATCATTCAGATTGGTGATTGCTGGAATAAGGATTTCTGGTATTGGAGGACTCAGTTCTTAGCTGGTGTAGCTCAGCCTTGCTCTGTTCAAATAAATTAAATGAGGATCTGGGCCAGAGTTTTGGAGTTATTTAGAATTATTGCTGAAGTCTGACATGGAGGATTCATTCCCTCAGGTTATTCAAATGATTTCCTCTTATATGACTCAAAAACTAAAAGTCCAACCCACACACATAGACTTTAGTGCATTACAGATTCTTCTTCATCAGTAGTGCAACAAGTATAGTAAATAGCCTGATAATTGTGTTTCACATAATGTGAAATGGTAAATTGTACTCTTTATTTCATACCCACCTACACTTACATGTATTATTTGTCATCTTCCAGTTCTCTACCTTTGTTGACATTTATCTGTGAACTCTTCTGATGGGGTTGCAATCTGCACATTAGCTAAGGCACTCAGGGTACTTGTATTACAACACAGAATTGTTCTGAAGGATGGTTTTCTGATCAGTTGCTGTTTTTTGTTTGGTCCCTAAGGATATTTGGGTATAGAGGAAAAACCCATTGTTGTCTATGTAGGAGAATAGCACTTATTGTGTCCAAATAACATGAATTTTAACTGAACATAAATAGTTCTAGATGTGCCCTAATCATACTACGTTAACAGCTCTAAACTGCATTTCCTGAGGGGTTTTATGGTTCCCTTTGAAAGCTAATATGCAACAGTTTTTAACAACTGTTCTGCAATTTTGTGGGGAGCCACTTTCATTTACTAGAAGTGAAAGTATGCCAAAGGGCTATGTTTCTCCAATATCTACCTAGACTGAAATATGTTGCTATTCTAATCAGTGTTTAAAAATAAACACTTTTAACACTGGTTTGCAGGGTGTGGGGATTTGGAGGAGAGGATAAAATCAATGTTCCTGTCACACTTTATGGTCCCGTGAAAAATGATATTGAAAACAATTCGGTCAAGCCTCTGAGTTGCTGATACTGGGCTCATTCCTTTCATTATTTTCATGCTTAGTTTTTTCCTCTAGTGCTTAACTTCTATATTTCTCTATATATGCTGACATTTTCTTCCTACCATATGTGAACATGCAGAGCCCCCTGCTGGAATATACACAGTACTCTTCAGTCTTAAGTCTTCAAGGAAGTGTGATTGTACATATGATAAAATTGTCTCATGAATGTTGTGAACTGTAGACGCATACTTAGATTTTAAGGTCTGCAGAGGTTTCACATTTCCTACTGATGTTCAGACAAGAGCTACTTAATACTGACAAGGACATTTTTCCTGGAGCTTCATGGAAAACTGATGTGAGGAGAACATGGCCGTGGAAATTATTGAAAGAAAGTAAGATCTGGTCAGCTGCAATTTCTTATCTAAACAGCCACAGGCTTAAGCCTTTAGAACAGATGAAGGCTCT